TATATGGTTGTGACTATTTTCTTCCACTATTTGATCTGAGGAAGTGGGTCTTGCCCACGAAAGCTCATCATCTAATAAACCATCTTGTTAGTCTTTAAAGTGCTACATTGTCCTGCATTTTGCTTCAGCTACCCCAGACTAACACGGCTACATTTCTATCACTATTCTAAGAACAAGTCTAGTATCTGTTACACCCTATTTCTGGATGTTTCTGGGTCAGGTGATTAGCTACACACTTTGCACATGTGCTCAGACTCACCATCTCAGTATTTTAAGTTAGCTGAAAATACTTTTGTTACAGTCTATTAGGCTGTGTCCTCACACCTTTCTGTATAATGCAATCATGGAGTTATGCATATTTCCATCATAATGTTGTAAGGTGTAAGAGACAATGCTGTGCTTCTAAATTAAATTTTCCTGCAAATACACAGTAAACTATCTGGTTTATGTCACATGTGGTCAACAAGCAGGTAGCAGTTGAGATTAGAGGAATCTTTACAGTTTAAAGCATCAAAATGGGGATCAGTTGGTTAATTCTAACAGGACAAGAGTGCCACTACTCTATGTACATTGTTCATAGGGAGAATCACTGTACAGGAAGCCAACACCTTGCATGGGTCCAGCAGGATCTACCAAAATACTTATCAGGCCTTCACTCTCTTAATCATGAAAAATGCCTTAACCAGTGCAGGCCTGAGAAAAGGAGTAAGATTACCTTAAATTTGTGACTGAAATAAACCAACCATCTGGGGTTTGCAGCTGACCAAAAGCAAAATGGAAAACCCCAATTTGAAAAGTCCTTACAGTGCTACCTGCTGCAGGTTAGTTACGAGATGAGAATGGACTTTATTAAAAATTGTGAAACTATTATAAATAAGATATACTGCCCTCAGAAATAAAATCATTAATAAGGAATGTAAATACTTTTATGCTAACTAATAGAAAATAAATATATTCCGCTCACAAGCAAAATGTGCTAATCAAATAATAAATGTGTTTTAAAAGGAGATGTTCTGTAACCAGAACCAGAATGTACTAGTAATGGATAAGTACAGTACATTGTATTTAGAATTCTTTACATTCATGCTGAAGCTATTCTAATTAAGTGCTGTACTTTTGCATGACTCTTGCTCTGCATACCTCAGGAGAGTACAGTGCTTGAGAAATACACACAACCTTTCAGTCTTTAAGTATGCTACTGTGTTTGGCTGCTCTAGACCTTTTATCTTGCAAATATGTGTGGAGTCAGATAAAGTCTATAAGCTTTAGAGTGTTAGCCAGAATAATATACAATATCACAAGTTTTTTGTATACCTCCTAATTTTATTAATGTTAAGCCCTTCTAATATGCTCTTTTTTTGCTTACATTAAACTGTGTAACCATGAGAATATGTGAAGAATTGTCCTCTAAGAGTTAGTTATAAAAACATTCCAAAGGACAATACAATGTTGCTGATGCTTAGCTACCATATCTGTACCAAGCTATCATCGATGAAGCATGTCTCGTGTTTTGCTAACTTCTGGAGTGTGATCAAAAACAGGATAATAATTTAGATACAAACTGTCCTGTCTACTGCGGGGGATGTGAAAACCTAGCAAAAAGTCTTCAAAATATGTCAAAAGTAATAGATAAGAAGGATAAGAAATAATGCAAAGGAAGGGTGAAAAACTCAACACTAGTATACATGAACTAAGATTGAATCAGATGGCCAGCCACACAACTGTCTCCCAGATTAGTGGTAACATATTGTTCTTTCTTTCTCCATGCATTTTTAATCTTTCACTAATTATCTTTTATTGATAAAGTTGATTAGGCCTAGATATTTGACAACTCTTGTTATCAAATTAACTCAGTGCATTAACAAATTTTAACCTTATACCATGTATTGAAAAACTATTTCCGTAGGAGGGTGGTGAAGCCCTGGAATGGGTTACCTAGGGAGGGGGTGGAATCTCCATCCCTAGAAGTGTTTAAGTCTTGGCTTGACAAAGCCCTGGTTGGGTCAGTTTAGTTGGGATTGGTCCTGCCTTGCGCAGGGGGCTGGACTTGATGACCTCCTGAGGTCTCTTCCAGCTCTATGATTCTATGAAATAATGAGTAGTCCTGTGGCACCTTAGACACTAACAAAAAAAATAGTATCATGAGCTTCAGATGAGATGATCTTGAGAGAAGATTTAGATGTTCTCATCTCTAGGAGTGATAGGACTACTCATTTTTAATGTTGTCATTTCAAAATTGATGCCTGGGAAATGTTGCAAAGGGTTTTTTGCTCAGGGCAACGTTCAGGAAAGTTGAGTACTCCACTTTCTTCCCTCTCTTTGGATCTAAATAAATCAAATGTAAGTTACTATTGGAAGGTACAAAAATGTACAGGTCATAAGCTGTTTTGGGATAGGATTCCTGCATTCTTCTGTGATTGCCCTCACTGCCATTATTAAAAGGAAGCCATGTATTTCTGAATGAGAGCATCCATATGGGCTTTAGGAGTTGTAATTTATGTGCAATAGCTTCACACATATGCCTATCCAGGCAGCCCTTAGCAAATAAAGGGAAAGGAATCAGGGAAACTGGGGGAGGAGGAAAACCTCTATTAGTAACTAAAACATTTTCCAGGTCACCCACACAAATGGGGGGCTGTAGAGCCTCAGATGCAAATAACTCTGATGGCAAGGGGGAGCAGTGTTACTACTGACACAATTAGTGATCATGAATAAATACGTTGCATTTAGCTTCTGTATCATTACAGTCTGTGTCCTCAACGCTGAGAGTATGTGTGGTGTTGTTACTATGGGGTAACTAAGGCCTAATCTACACTAGGGATATTAGAGTTTAACCAACTAATCATTTAACTGATAAACCATCTTGTTAGTCTTTAAAGTGCTACATAGTTCTGTATTTTGTTTTAACTGATAAGGTGAGGCTTACTGGTTAATGACATCAGTTAAACTCAGCCCACTCCTAGGGAGGTGGCTTTGCTGCACAGGGCAGCAAATTCTCCTCCCCGGAGCCCAGGCAGAGTAGGGGGCTGATGGCGCACTCCTGGGAAGACTTCACAGCAGGCTATGCAATATAAAGTTAGTTTTATACTGCAGAGCCCACAGCACATGTAACTGCTAAGACCTCCCTTGGTTATCTAAGATACATAACTTAAGCAACATGAGCTTCAGCGGGTAGCTGAGTTAGTCTGTTACAGAAAAAAAACAGCAAGCAGATGGTCTGGTAGCACTTTATAGACTAGCTCTAAAACTTGTAGATGGTATCATGAGGTTTCATGGGCACAGCCCACTTCTTCAGATGACCGGAGTTATGATTAGAGGATAATGAAACTCGAAATAAATAGGAGAAGGGGGGAGAAGGGAAAGATGTTCTATTGCCCACCCCCCTACCTCTATGCATAAAGTATCAGGAGAAAGGGTGCTAAACTTTAGTAGATAAAGATCAAAATCAGTGGATGGATAAGGCAGGAAGGTTACCATTCAGAAGGTAGTTAGCACCTTCATTGATAAAGGTTCCACCACCCCATATCTTGATTAAGTCCATAATTAATTGAATTTAATGTGCATATGTATTGTGATTCCAAACTTTCAGCGTAGCTGAAGTTGACATACTTACTGCAATGTCTTCTATGTGGTATGGTTTGTAGCTGATGGTCTTCCTTCAACTCCACCTTCTCTTCTGTCCAGGTGGATGGAGTACCAAGACAGGAGAGCCCTGCAGTGTGGATCCACCATATAGTGGAAACAAGCCCTAACAGGCATTACCTCTCCCACTGTAAAACCACAGTGGGGATAAAATCAGGTACTTTAGTTTACTTAAAAGGCAAAGGAGGTGAGGTCAGTACTATGTCTGCCCCCTCCCTGATCAATGCAAAGGACTAACAGAATAATTTGTTTAAAAAAAATCTGTGATTTTGCCCATGTAAAACAATAAGCTTGTCCAAATGTGAATAACATGGTTCATCATCATCATCATCAACAACCATGGGCTCAACGCCTGTTGGTGTCCGATGCCTCCCTCACGATTTCCTTCCATCTTTCCCTGTCCAGTGCGGAGTGACTTAGTTTCTGTAGACTAGCTCCGCACCAAACTACTATATCATCTACCCATTCGCTGGGAGGGGTCTGCCTCTCCTATTGGACCATCCATTATGCCAAATATCAGGGTCTTAACTTTTTGCTTGTCATTCATTCTGCAGATATGCCGGAATGGCTGTAACTTCTGTTGTATAACCTTCTGCAGTAGGTTCTCTTTCGCCTATATCTTACTATGTAATTCCTCAACGGTGACCTTCTGCATCCATCCTATTTTCAGGATCTTTCTATAACAACTCCTCTGGAACACCAATATCCTTCTCTTCACATGGCTGAACTGTATTATATCAAAACAGGTATCATACAAAAAACCCTCTAAAAGTAAAATATGGAATGAGGCTCTAAACTATTCAGTAGGAAAACCAACCAAACCCCCAGAAGTGGAGGAACAGGAAGGTAAACTGGGCTTCAGTCTTTGCAGGCAGCAGATTAGAGAAACGAGGCTTTTGAATACAACTGGCATTAAAAGGCGGCTCTTCCAAGCCCCGCCAGCCCATGGCAACGAGATGCTGGTTGCCAGCGGTGCCCGCAGAGCCCGTCTCTATTGCCAGCCCACGGAGAAGCGAAGCGGGGTGCGGGGGCTTTTGCCACCCAGCGCTGGGAAGCGGGCGCTAAGATGCACCCTCGGGACGGGGATCCCCTCTGCCGCCCGCAGCCCGGCGCAGCAACAGCGCCCGCCATGGCCACAGGGGCAGAAGCCGCGGCGCGCGGGCAGCGGTTCCCAACGGACACAGGGCTACAGTTGGGCTCAGCTGCTCTCAACCCACCGTTCTACCCGCTCCTCCCACCCCCCTGATTGGGCCCCACTCCAGCCCCTGCCTCCAATCAGTGGCCTGACTCCCCTGTCACTCGGCGCCCCCCATACCAGCCCCGACCCGCCCCGCGAGGCAGTGACGGGCGTGCTACTGCGCATGCTCGAGCTCGGTGGGCGCAGCTAGTCCTGGGACTCGGCGCAGATTGACCCTTTCCCCGACCCGTCGCGGCTGGCGGTGACATTGCCCCGGCTCCGCTCGAGACTCGGCCCCGCAGGGAGGCTGCTTGGACATGTGGGCCGCCGCCGGTGAGTTTGCGCGGGGGAGGGGCTGGTCTCAGGCCGGGCAGCAGGAGGGTACAGCTCTACCCCCCCTCCGGGCACGGGCCAGGAACCCGCCCGATCGGCCCCTGTGGCTTCTCCGCTGCTGCGCAGCCCGGCAGCCGGCTCCTTGCCCGGCTCCCCGCTCGCCCTGGCGCTGCGCGCAGCGGGAGGCGCAGGCCGGTGCGCGGGACCTGCTTCCCTGTGGCGTGAGCGCGCGGGCAGGCTCCGCTCCAACCGTGCCGTGATGTCACAATCGCTCCTCCGTCACTCTCTGCTGTCCCTCGAGTTCTCCCCCCGGCGGTGACGGGAACTCACGTGTCTGTCTCGCAGGCGCTGCCCTTCGCCGCTGCTCAGCCAGCTCCTGTCACCCCCGCTCCCACCTTACACACTAGAGTTTCATTTATTTAGTTTTCGAATTTCCTCATATAAATACGCACTTGCATGTGTGTTCATACATTTCAAAAAACCTCAGTGAGAGCATAACCAGGTCTGTTGTAATTAAAGTTTAGAACAATTTTCTGTTTAAGGCACAACTTTTCTAAGAGCGCTACATTCTGCACAGTCACTCAGATTGTTTTGAAATGTTTGGTGTTACTTTTGAATTCCGTTATCGCCCCTTCTGTTTTTTAGGCAGAGCTATTGGGATATTGGAAAGAAATGTCCCCTCATTTCTGAGGCCAACTAAACAAATAAATCTGAAGGCCCAGAGAAGTTTTTGCAGTAAATCACAGGAGGGGAGCAAACATAAACATGAAGGTGGAGGTAAGCTTTTTGCTCTGAGATTCAAAAGTATCAGTGTTACTGTTCGTGCAAGCACCAGAGTGAGGAATAGGTATGAAGAACTGCTAAACAATTGTAAAATCAAGAGCAGGAGCAGGGAGCCTTTTTGGATCAGGGGCTCTGGCCCACAGAAAAATCAGTGAAAAACAAAAGAGAGTGAGAGAGAGAAATCTGAACCCTCACTGATGTGACCCCTGACTTGAGAAGGTGAAAGACACATGCCTTTAGTGGCAAAGTATTTTAGTCTCTGGTGGGCCCCCATCTTCTGCACTCAAAATGCCAGAGTGGGGAACAGCTTTGATAGCTGGTAACCTTTAAAACATATTCATTTGTGACCAGATTTGCACTAGATTTGATGCTGCTTTTTGTTAGTCAGGAAGATGCATTAGATTTATACACATTTAAACAATTAGCTTAACATCTAGTTATTCAGTTATTCATTTTTACTTTTTTAGGTTGCATTTCTTAAAAATTAAGCATCTCCTACTAAATATCTGTGATTTTGTGTCAAGCTCTATTTGGATGGAAATTCAAATTCAGTTAAATGCACAAAACAGCATTTTACCCTCACCTTTCATTTAATAATTTTAAAAAATACTATCTTAAATATTATCTCTTCCCCCATTAGGTATCCAGCATACTGATATGGTATACTTTTTGTTTTAAATTAAATGTTTAATAAGTAGTTCAGTTTACTAACCAGAGATAAAATTAATTTTTTTTCTGGTTACTATGTCCTTTGAGATTTTAGAAGTAGTAGACAAGTATCAGAGTTCTTGCGCAAGAAGCTGCCAGTATAGACGTAGCTATACTGTTTTTTTTAGTAGCTATTGCAAAATATTTACAGTAAGTTTAAAACTTATATATAATTGATAAGTTGTTAATTTTAAATAGCTTTACTTTTTTTTTTTTTTTTTTACAATTAACGCTTATTTAAATTATTAAAAATTCAATTTAAATAATCATTTAAAAAAACCCTGTTAATTCACCTTGGGTCGTTTGTAGCTGTGGGATTTTTCCATCCCTCTAATGTTCATGTTACCAGCAATTTCACTGCTAATTGTGAGATAATAATAGTTAGCAACTCATTGCGATAAATGTGGGCAGCTCTCATGTCTGAGATAATAGTCTGTGGCTGATTGAGGATGACAGAATGCATTAGTTATTCCTGGTTCATGTTTCCAAGGTTTTCTTCACAAATATGAGGCTAGAAACACAAGATTTGATTCTCTACTTTTTCACATTCTTTCATAGTAATTTCTAGCTGTGCAAAGTAGATGTAAAATGCTCCCAGGTTACAGTGTGTACTCTTAGCTGGTATGTTACAGTAGTGCAGTATTTCTTAGACTCTTGAAAGCTGAGCCTGCCTTCAGGAAAATAAAACCAATCTCATCCTCTTCACTCCCACCATATGTTGCTAAAATTGAAAACATTGGTAGGTCATTAACAATATACTTTCTCTCCTTCCATGTTTGGAAAAAACTCTAAATAGTTAACCAACAGTTGGCATCTAAGTTGTCATTAGCATGTGAGCACCTGTTGAATTGACTAAAGCGGATTGCATATTATAGGGATGTAAGCGACTATCTGATAAACATATGCTTATTGGATAGTCCACTCGACCAGTTGCTTCCTTCCCCCCACTTGCTGCCTCTCTCAAAGAGAGGCATCAATGAGGGGAGTAGGAGCTGGTGCCATCTCCGTGAGAGGGGCTGGAGGTACAGCTGTTCTTGCTACATTTGAAAGGCGGAGGTGCCCTTACCGACTAATTGAATAGTCGATGCAGTTTGCATTGACTATTGGATTAGTTGATTAATCTAAATTTAACATCCTTAGCATATTGTGTTTTCTACAAACTCAGGTAGATGTTTCTGCAGTGGTTACATTTGAATTACATTTTAAAAGGTTTTCTTCTCAACCGTAGCAATTGGAGACTTATTTTAAATGAAAGCTGAATCTCTGTAGCCCTGTTGCCCTAGCTAGTCCTTTGTACCCAGCATAATGAGAAATGCTACCCTAGTGTAAAGGTAGCTAATGCTATGTACAGGTGTAAATTTTGATACAAAGTGCAAGGAAGTGGAGAACCAGCACCACAATATTTTTAAATGAATACTTTGATTCTGGAGAATGAAAGGTCTGGATTCTGAGGCACATTCTCTGCCTTGAGAATTGCAGAGTACATGGGGTCATAGCCCATGGGTAAAGTACTCTCACCTGAAGCTCAGTTCAGTTCCACATGCCCTTACTGCTGCTCAAAGACTGCTCCTCTGATATTTCTGCTCCCCTTTTGGTTACAACAGCAGATTTGTGTTGCTCACCCTGACAGTTTCATTAAGCTGTGATTATTCTCCATATTGTATCTTTTCTTCCATATTTACTATAGGGCAATCCATCTTCAGAGTGCCAGGACACAAGCCCACAGACTGGGAAAAGAAGGTTCTGATGTGGTCAGGCCGTTTCAAAAAAGTAGATGATATACCAGAGACGGTCTCGTAAGTATCAGTCCTGAATTTGGAAGTACACTACTGTACGCTTTCCAAGGAATAAATTAATGGTTGAAAGTATACAGGACTGAGTATCCGTTCTGCAGAAGGGTGATGTCAGATAATCTAGGCAACAGGATATGGAAATTACAGCAGTTAACTCCCTCATACTTCTCCCAAAGTAAAAGAGAGAAAGTAGCAGTCATTTCAATAAAGGAGACCTTGAACCAACTAGTTTTCATCCTAGCTTTTTTGAAGAAGTTTTGCAAACCGTAATATGGATAGAAATGTTTTCTTGGTTGTTTTTTTAATTTCCATGAAAAGTGTATTATTTATTTCATGAAAAGTACATTATTCAATGGAGGTTGAACCTTTTTAGTCTGGCACTCTCTGGTCCAGCAACATCCATGGTTCAGCATAATTTTACTTGGCCACGCCCATGATAAGTAGACATTTGGCTAAGTTTCCTGCAGTCCCATTAAATTTCTTTACAGCTGCCAGTCCTGGCTCTCAGTGTTCTGTGCTGTAGATTTACCCCCAGATGTCTTTGAAGAGTCTAGCAAGCAGTGAAAGTGTTGGTAATGCTGCTAAGTGTAAGCCTGTTTTTTTATTCTTTATCTACTTATTTCCTTGTGCCAATACTGTAAAAATTGTGTAACAGCATTAACCCTTTGATATGAAGAGAACTGATAAAGCTTTGTCTAGGCATAGGCTCCTATAGAATATATCAGTACAGTCACACTTTACTAAGCAGCATTGTTCTGTTTATTCACCTTGATGAAATAAAAGTAGACACCCCCTCTCACTACAATATTGACCTGTAGTTCAGCACTCATTAGATCCAGAGTGTGCCACACTAGAGAGGTTCAACCTGTAATTATTGAAATGACACTCAATATAAACCATGTGATAATAAATAATATTTAACATAGGCCTTGAGAAAGAGAGAGAGAGAACTCAATCTCCCTTGGGATTTAAACAAAGCAAATAGTAGACTAGGCCTCTAATGAAAATAGAGTGTCAAAATTTCGCTGCAGCAATCCGAGCCCCAGTGAGAATACTGTGCTAGTCTGTGAGAACCAAAAAAAAAATAATTAAAAAACTGACAATTTTACACTGTCCAAGCAAGATGAAATGTAAATCATACTTAAACAATTCTCTTTGAATAATTACACATGACATTAATAATGTAGATAAGGCCTTCTCTTTTTAAATGAATTATGTTGATAGTGTCTGTTTAAAAACTTTTTGTTAAAGTGACTCCTATATGAATTAAACTTTTCACCATTTCAGGAAGATAAACGCATCTGAGGGTTCCCTCTAAAACAGGGAATCTATCCTGTGTAAATACATGATGCAGAGTCAGAACACCCTCTAATTCTTACTGTTTTAAGGTGCAGATCTGCATGGTCTCTGTGTGGTAAATGGTTTTATTGGGCCTCACGTGTATGTCCAATAAAGAGCGGAACAGAAAAGCTTAGCTGATTGGAGGGCTTCACTACTCTCCTGTTTTAAGCCAGCTGAAGAACTGAACAGCCTTATGCCCAGGAATATGTAGCCAAGAAGTGGAATGCTTAACTGACACTCCGCCAGTTTCATTTTATATTTATTACCTGATGAGTGACTGAAGTCATAGTGGAAATTCTGCCACATGGAGGCTCTAGTATGGCATACCTGATGAGTTTCTGCAATCTCCAATCCAAAGGGTTTTACAAGAGCAGTTGGTAACATAAAATCATACTATAGATGGAATGTTAACTATTGTATATAATCTCTCTGGAACTAAGGCAGCATTAAGGCTACCAATATAAGATAGACTTTGCTACTTTTAAACCAATCAACCTGAAATTCTAAAGGCATGAACTTATACCAGGGATAGAATTTGTGAGGCAACATTAGTCAAATTGGAGAAAACAATTGACACTCAAAAATGTGGTGACTTCATTTTTCTAATTTTGTAAAGTTTTTGAAACACAACAATGTAGCACAAAATAGGTTGGCCCAGAACTTTGATATGAATTATTGTGTTGTTCTATGGCAGAATGGATCCATCAATAAATTCTGGACAGTAGGATGTAGGCATTATTATTTTGAGTAGCGTTCTTACAAATTATGAACATTACAATTTTCCTAACACACAGTGGCTTATAAGCAGTTTTCTATACATGTACCTCCTAAACAATGCACAAGTGTCATGTGCTGTCTAACAGACATAGAGGTGGTATGCTATTTATAATTAAGTACACTATATCAACCTGATCACCTTTGTGCAGGTACTTATTGACACCTTCAGAGAATTCTAATAGAGTTCCTCATATTTCTCAGTAGGGATGTAAGCAACTAATTGACTACCTCATAAGCAAATGCTTATGGGGTAGTGGAGTAAAAACTGCTTTGGTCCCCACTGGCATGGGTTCCCGCTGCCTCTCTACCTTTGAAATAGGTGGCTTTTGTATATTTCAAAGAGAGAGGTGCAGTGGGAGAGCAAGTGCCCCCCTTATCAACTAATCTAGTAGTTGATGGAAATTCCATTGACTACTCAATTAGCTGATTAATCAAAATTTAACATCCCTATTTCTCAGTGCAAAACAAATTCTCCACCTTCAGTTCCTGTTATTAGTTGAAGTATTTACAACCCAAATCATTTAATTCTTTACTCTGCCCTTCATGGAGGGCATTTGGAAGATCAAGATTACTGAAGCTGACCTTGTAGGGGACTTGTCTTCCCAGGAGTTAAATGCTGCAAATATCTAGAAGCAAGTGATATAGCTGCAAATGTTGGGTGTATTTAGATAATAAGAGGTACTAAAATTTGCAAGAGTCTCTCCAGGGCAAAACTTACATGGCATAGCCATAAACAGTCCTCCATCTTTAATTAAACTCTCGTGAGAACTGTTCCAGGAAAAAAATCAGAAGCTAAATTTTAAACTTCTACAAAGAGCTACAAAAATTTTCGTAGGGATATAAATTGCTGGAGCACATACTGGAAACAGCTGATATGAAGGCTGTACTGTAAAACTGTTTCTATTTGCAGCTAGCATTTCCAAATCCAGTGTTGGAGGAAGCCAGCTTGCTGAAAAGTTTAATTTATGGTGCATAGCATTATTACCCAATAGGAAAAAAACCATGAACCAGTTTTGATTCTCCCCCCCCCCCCCCAAAAAAAAAACCCCTCTATTCTTCCACAGATTAATCTTTCTTTATACCCTGCAAACTTTCAGGATGTGCCAAAACTAGAAAAAAATGTAGTCTTACCATGTGTTAACATGATAAAATCCTAACATGAAGAAGGCAGCTTGTTGTTTGTATGCAGTTTAACAAGTTGAGGTAAGCAGATAAAAGAAAACACTATGGTAAGAGCTCACTACTTTTCTGCCTATTCTCTCCTTACTGAAGACAAGACTGTAGGCAGAGCAAAAAGGGGTACACGGTTCCAGTGATCTGAAATGGAAGCACTGACTTGTGATTAGAGCAATGGGCTGAGTGTTAGGAGACCTGGGTTCTGTTCTCAGTTTTGCTAATGACTCATTCTGTGGTCTTGGGCAAGCTGCCTCCTCATCTGTAGAGTGGGGATAGTGCTTTTGGAGGCACTGTTGAAAGGCCGTTTACAGATGATAGTTTCTTGACAGTAGATTGTATGGATTCTTGTTTATCAGCACAACAAGACATATCAATAGATACAGCTATGGTCTCTGATAATGATTGTGGTTTCCCTTTGCTTCATGAGGTTTGAGATGATCGATGCTGCACGAAATAAATTGCGTGTGAAGATCAGCTATCTGATGATTGCCCTGACCATACTGGGCTGCATTGTGATGGTCATTGAAGGAAAGCGGGTGAGTACAATATTGGATAGTTGACTGGAGCTGGACCTTGACTCTCAATCTTCAAATCTCTCAAGATCAGGAACGAAGGAACAACAAATACTAACTAAGGCAATAAACAAAAATTGAAACGAAGACTCTGCCACTCCCTTAAAACTTACCCAACCCTAAAATGTACCTTTCTGGGCAAGAGAGAGCTGTACTTCTTAATACAGCGTGGGGTCTTCCTGGGAATGTGTACACTCCTTCATTCCTTCACTTGTGCTTGTACCGTGCTGAGGTAGTGCTCCTGGAAGTGCACACGTAGGAGGTGAGATGCTGTGCAACTTCTGTTATTTCAACATAGCTGGGATTGGGGAATGCCTGTTGCTTCCTGGTAGTGGATTCATAATAAGAGGCACTGCAGTGTGCTCTCAGGTACCTCCAAGAAGTCATCTTGAGAGAAGTTTTGGGATGAGAACCCTCCCAGTAAATAAGTGGGACTGGAGGCAGTGGTGTTTCCTCTCGCAGTCATTTAGATGCTGCAGTGATTAGGCAGGTTCTTTATAATGCATCTAAGAAGGGTGGGGTATCTCCGGCATGCCAGCGGCATGTGGGTCATCAGGGTTAGCTGCTGGCGAGCCATTAGATGCTTTGTTTACCTGAATGTCTTCAGGCACAGGGCCCCTCTAGGAATCATATATATATAGTAGCCCAATGTCTGTGACTCTAACGTTGAAATGCTGGCTGTTCCCTCTGGACGGCACTGTTGTCTCCTGCCGTGGCGCTCAGCTGACTTCTGTGTGGGAGGCAACAGCGCCGCCCAGAGGGAACAGCCAGGGAGCGTGGGGCTCAAATGGCTGCTTGCACTGCTTGCTCCCACGCAGCGGCCCGGCTGAGTGGCACAGAAGTCAGCTAAGCGCCACAGCGGGAGGCAAAGGGGGTGGGACTGTGACGTACATGCCCAAGAGGTGTGGCCTGGGCATGCATGCATATATATATATATATATATATATATATGAGAGAGAGAGAGAGCACTAAACACTTCAGCAGCTAGCAGAATGTTGATGGAATGACAAACTTGAGCAAGCACAACTCAAAGAAGGACAAGGGGTGCACCACAGAGGGACTTAGGGACAGCCACTTGGGGCAATAAGTTGATTACCAAAGCAAACTAGTCAGTGATAAATGTATGTTCCAAGATACTTGTCTTATGCAAGCTGGACTGACAAAATGTGTTGAACAAAAGGACTAGAAAAATCCAGCTCCAGTTGCAAGAACTCAAAAGTTGGTGTCTTGGACCCTGATAGGATGGAGAGAGAGGAGTCTCATTTTAATTGGATATATTCAGTGCTTATTTTGTGACGGTACTGCCCGGTACACAGTACCAGCACCTCCAGTCAGAGCTCACCAACTTTCCCCTGGAGTACTGGCACTTTTTTTTTTTTTTTTTTTAAAAAAAAAAAAAAAAAAAAGCTCTAGATATATTGAATCTTTGGAAGAAGTATTGATCACCATCTGACTGGTCCATGCCAGGACCTCCAAGAAGGTAAATTAAGTTGGGCTACCCAGTAGAAATAGGATAAAATTGTCTGTTTTCTTCAGTGTAACACTTTCTAAAAAGCCATAGTGACAAAGAAAGGAGAAGACTGAGGTCTTTGGCTGGCCAGCTGAGAGTCCTCCCAATGACATCAACCATTTCAGAGAGGCATCTTGAAATGTCTCTTTCCCAGAAATTTGGAATTTGGGCTACCTGCTAGGGCACCAGAAAACACTAGGGTTGTTGCCATACTTCACTCAGCTTGTGATTGCTCAGCCAAGAGCTTAGTTACTAATCTCAGCAGAGTTCTGATAATAAGTTAATTTACCACTGCTTGAACCTGGGTACCTAATTACTGAGGCGGTATATGTGTTTTTGTATGTGACTTAAAGATTGCCATAGTGTATATCCTTGTTTTGTAACAGGTTCCAATCAAGGTTGTTATAAAATAGATTTGATACTGAATAAGTTATTGTTAACTAAGATTGTAGTACACTATACACATGTCTATCGTATTTAATGGTTTCATACTACCTTTCACCTTTAGGTGCATACAGACATAAAACAGACCAGCGTACAAGCTTCTTAAACTGCACTAAATCTATACAGTCTTCACAAATTTAGTGTGTTATGTATTTAGGAGTGTTAGTCAGATCCTGGGACTAATCACTGGTAAGTAGGCTAAAAGGGCTGGCTACCAATAGATCTATTGGGAAGGAGACCTTGGAGAATTGGCATGGAAGTAAATAACCAAATTACCTTTCCCTTTAGCTTTAGATTGTATTTTCTCCATCCCCCCACCATGTTTGCAACAGTGGAGTTGACAACCTTTTGGCATATGTGAGGCCCTATTCTGAGGGGTTCTTTTTCAAAAATCTAACCAAAGTCACCTTCCCATGAGAGAACATAACACGTACACTCACTATTGTGGTTGTGTGATTTTAATTTTGGAATCCTAAATGGTTATTTTCACCAGTTTTCTAGCTTTATTAGCTAATTCATAGTTCAATATTTTTATCTCTTATTCTATCCTATTGGTTGCTTTTGTTAACAATACTCAAGTAAAATTCTCAAATTAAAATTCAGCTCAAGCCAGCTTCTTCAGTTAAGTAACTGAAATTGAAGGACCCTTTAGATGGGTGGCACACATCTGCTTATGCCAACCAAATGGAGATTTAACCTTAAAGGCCAACGTTTTGTAGAGTTCTGAGTGGGTGGGGATGGGGATTAGAATGGAAGCAGTTCTTAATTATAGCAGCATTGGCTACTGGAGTATGGTACATCTGCCTACACTTTTCAAATTCTCCTGGTTTTTGAGGAAGAGAAAAATATTATCACTGACTAGAAGGTGGGAGAGCATCTGTAGAAGCCGCCAGTATATTGGCTTAATTCAGCCCTAAGCAAAGAATGACCTGAAAGCATTCCAGGATTTTGTGCCTCTGGAATGTATTTTAACCTCTATGTCTTCCTAGCATTAAAGCAGGCATGTTACAAAAGTGCAACTAAGCATGGGAGCGGTTTCTCAGTAAGGGAACATTCTTGAGATGTATAGGTCAGACCCCCTGATGGTTTGTTCACTGCTACTTCAAACTTCATTTCTACAGTATGGTAAGGAACATGTTGGCTCTCTTATCATATAATTGCAGGCTGTCAGAAGGCATGAATCCCTTACAACCCAAAACTTGGAAAGAAAAGCTCGCTGGAGAGAGGAGATTGCTCAGAGTGCATCTGCCAAACCCTAGGAGAGGCGAGACCTGGGAAGGAGGATACAAAGCTGATGCTTTCTTTGTTGTTGAGTGTGGTAGATCTTTGTGTATTACACTTGTATGTTATGTTCCTCTGCTCTTACACTTTAGAAAAGAGAAATAAATTATTTTGTAGTAATACTGAAAATGTCTTGACTCCTCTGTATTGGGCTATCATCAAAATGCCTTTTTTGAAGAGTTTAGAAGAGCGAGGAGAGTGCAAGGGAAGGGCCTCTTACTAGATCAGTAACTGGTTAAAAGATAGGAAATAAAGTGTGTTAGGAATAAATGGTCAATTTTCAGAATGGAGAGAGGTGAATAGTAATGTCCCCCAAGAATCTGTACTGGGACCAATCCTATTCAACATTCATAAATAGTCTGGAAAAGGGGTAAACTGTGGCAATTTGCAAATGATAAACTACTTGAGCATTAAGTCCAAAGCAGACCGAGAAGAGTTATAAGGCGATCTTGCAAAAGTGGATGAGTAGGTAACAAAATGGCAGATGAAATACAGTGTTGATAAATGCAAAGTAATGCACCTTGGAAAACAATCCCAAATGTACATACAAAATGATGGGATCTAAATTAGCTGTTACCACTCAAGGGGGCAATCTTGGAATCACTATGTATAGTGACAGAGCTTACAGCTGGGCTTAGAGGCCACTAGATTTTGTTTTTTCTTCTGATTTTTCTATTCATCGCAAAAGGGGAAAGGACTGAGATGAGACCTGATTGTAGGATTAGGCCATGGAAATGATGAACCATATTCCGGAATGTGGATGGACAAGGGAGCAGTAGTGAGAGAAGTCCTGCACTGCTATGTTTGTGACATGGGGGGGGGGGGCTCAGTAGGATGCATGCCGTAACAGAGGCCTTTCAGAATAGGGCCTGGTCTGTACAATTACTGATGGCATGGTCTTTCTCCTATTCCCAGCTGCCTTGGAGTGTTGGGGGGCACAGCAGGGAAGCATCCTCCACCAAGACAGTCAGCAATTCCAATACCTTTAAACACAACATTTATCTAGCATACGAATTAAGAAGGAAAAAAGCAGTATTTAAAGAGTACATCTACACTGCACAGCTACATTGAGATACTGGAGGTATCCCAAAATAGCTACCCTGAGTCTACACAAGCCAATCGGTATTTCAAAGTATTTTTCAAAACAACAGGTGCACTATTTCAGCAACCCGGTAAACTTCATTGCATGAAGGATAAGGGATAGCTTGAAATAGCATGTTATTTTGAAATTTGGTGCTGTGTAGACGTGTCAAATTTCAAAATAAGCTATTTCAAAATAGATTTGAAATAAGATATGCACTTTGCGTAGTGCAAATTCGAGTTTAGGGTGCTGTGTAGACACACCCAAAGATGACATAACAGAGGGTGTTGGGGGGAAAGGACACTGAAAGAGGAAAGGCTTTTGTGGCAGAACTCTCAGTGGTCCCTCTAAGATTTTCCATCTACGAGCAGAGGGAACCCTGCTCTCAAACCCTATGTCTGTCCCAGCCTATTTCTCCAGAGTTCTCCTTCATAACAGCCATGGTCAAACCAAAGGTCCATCCAGCCCAGTGTCCTGTCTGCCAACAGTGGCCAATGCCAGGTGCCCAGAGGGACTGAACAGAACTAGGAATCAAGTGATCCCTCCCCTGTCATCTGTTCCCAGCCTCAGACACTGCATGCATACATTCCACTGTAGGTATCCACATGCCTAATGCACTGGAGTTGGCAACTGTTGCCAGCAGTACCAGTAGGTGGCACATGAACCCTTGCTATGCTTGTGCTCTCAGGTGAGGGCGTAAAAAGAGTGTATCTGCTGCCTCCCTCTCTGGTCCCTTTCTCTACCATATAGCCTTCGCCTCATTCAACCCACTTTAGTTGTTGCAGTTCTGTGTCATGTTGTATAGTTACACAGATAGAGCTTTCTAGTAGCTGGAGGATTTACTATAAAATCCCTATGTTTTAAACAATGTGCCACCTGCACAGTCATTATCCCCCTTAAAGATGGACACAAGAATTGTCTCGTTAGTTTGTGTTGAGGGATAAATGCCCTGTTTGTGCAACCTTTCCCACGCAAAGTGAGGGCATTTTTTCAGTGAAGATACTACTATGCTGATGGGAAGACCTCTGCCATGGGTGTAGTTAATCTGCCTTGGTGAGAGGCAGTAATGATGCCGATAGGAGAAGCCTTCCCATGGCCATAGCACCATCTGCAGCAGGGATTAAGGCGTGTAGATTTTTCACATCCCATGGTTCTTGATGTCTGTGTAGAATCTGGTGTTGGTCATCTTCCTTTCCAAGTGCAAGCTAATGGTTCTTATCAGCTTCTTGTAACTATTTAGTCTTTAAGGTGCTACTAGACTATTGGTTCTTTTTTACATTTTTCCTGTTACAGACTATCTACTTACTGTCTTTTTTTCTTCCTCCCCTCCATTTTTTTCCTTCTCCCTCTCTCTCCTCCCCTTACTTATTCTTGGATCTGGATTTCTAACTCTCTACTCATCTGAAGAAGTGGGGTGTGCCTATGAAAGCTCATACCACAGTCTACATATTTTGTTAGTCTTTAAGGTGCTACTAGACTATTGGTTCTTTTTTACATTTTTCCTGTTACAGACTAACTTGGCTACCCCTCTGAAGCTTTTGAATGATACTGATGTAAGTTCCTACTGTAGATCACACATCTCTCCACCTTAGTGCATGAATGATTGCTAGTTGAACACTCGTGAGAAAATATGTTCCCAAGAGGTCCAAGTCATCTCTGAGAGTGGCAGGAGTTCACAAATACCATGTCCAAATAAAAATGGAAGAGATTTTTCTCTTTGGGCATATACCCATAAATTAGTACTCTGTCACACTGAAGTTACACATGCATTGGACTATCTCCCTCTGAAGTTATCTGGGATCTCATAGTTCTTTGAGTTCACCTGGTTTCTATTTTAGTATTTAATTTGCCAAGCAATGGATTTTCCATTTTCTCTTATCTGCTTGTTTCTAGATTTTTGAAATGTCTGGTTAACAATCTCCTGTGTCTGCTTTGGTGCTAGTATAGAATTTAACTTTTGTTCTGTGTTGATTCATAGGTCTCCCTTTTGAGCCTATGTCAACAGCTTCACTGTCTAATCTATGAAGAGGGCATGTTAGTTACAAACACTTCCGTGAGGAAGGTTTCATAATTTCAAGCTGTTCTTGCTGATCCTCCTTTTGTGGCTTTCACAAGGACATGCTGTTCCTTAGGCCACATCCTTAGTTTATGCCTAAAATAGTGTCAGGCCTGCTTTTGAAACCAAACCTATAACTTTCTGACATTTTTCATGAAACCCCATTTGTTTAAGACTAAGGAAGCACTTCTAGAGATTTCATATTTTATTGAGACCACTCAAGTTTTAGAGCAGTGGTGAGCAACTTGCAGCCCACAGGGGTTCTATGTGTGGTCCACAAGACATTTTGTTTATGGTTGCCCATGCACAGGGCTGTCAGATTCTGCTGGTTTTCAGCTGTGTATTTCCCCCGCCCTCTTCCCCTGGTATTAAAGTGACACACACAAAGCAAGAGCCCGTGAAGTGAGGTGCATGCTGATGGCACACAACATTGGCTGTAAGAGCCGTGTGCTCCCAATCACAGCGCTGCTACGGTTCAAACAGCACAGCCTGCACATTCTAGATGCGCAAGTGCAGTTAGCAAAACTACCCTATCCCAGGAAATCATCTTGGTTACAATGATCTTGTGGCCCACTGCGATGAAGGGCCAGTCATGCAGCCCACTCACTAGCCAATGCTACTCCTCACTGCTTTAGAGCGTTCCCAAGAGTCTTTGTAGCCTTTGCTCCAAGAGCTAAGTATCAACTTGTGCCATCTCTCACTGGAATCCTGCCTGTGTTGTTTAGATGATACAAAGTCCCTTTATCCCATCACTCTGGAATCTTCCACTAGTTCCCATCGGTAACTTCATCAAATCATCATTATAAATATGTCCCTTCATCCTTACATTCCTTTGCTGAACTTCATATGGCTCCCTGCACACACTGCTCCACGGGTGTTGCCTTGTGCTCCCTCTTGTTTTTCAGCATCTTGAACAATCTCCTCCATGGCGCTCTCTATACTGCTCAAACTCATACAGAGTCCACGAGGAGTGAGTTGGTGGGGGATACCTACTTTTTCACAAAGAAACAGCTTGAGGTTCCCATCCACATGGACTTTTTCTCTGTCCTGAGCCTCAGTTGAGATGCCTCTTGAAGAGGAGAAAGGAGAACAGATTCCTCAAATTCTCTCTCCCTTTCTCCCTACCCACAGCATCCACAGCACCTGAAGAACGAAGGAAGCAGTACTAGACAGAAGGGATCCTGGTTGGGTGAGAGCAGACCAGGTATGCTTGCCGTCACAGTGAAGCAATGGAAAAGGCACCCCAAGACTGAATCACCAACACCCTCCACTAAAGGATGGAGCAGCGCCATCCACCTCTGCAGCTGGTCAAAATATCCCAGCCCCGGATCAATCCAACTGTCCCACAGGAAGGATTTGCTGGCAGAAAAATACTCAAGATTGCCACAGGCCACTTGCCATCCATCCCCATCAGGCTAGAGCTTTTGACCCAGTTGACTTGAGAAGCCTCCACTCACACCAGGACTCCCAGGTCCTGAGTCACAAGGAGCAGATCGCTGGCAAATGCCAACAGGAGCACCTGCACATATGGTTCTCGAAGCACCAAGCGTCTCCTCTTCTGGGGGAGATGAAGGAAGGGCTCAGCGGCAGTGGCATACAGCTTGACACACAGTGAGCAGCCCACACGCTCTTCTTAACTGAGGGCAACAAGTTTGGTCATGGCCCAGGTAAGCTCATGCAGAAACCTCAAAGGCTGCACTGAAGCTGAACACTTGCACACTGCCCAGGAGAGATGCCTG